CTCCAATTTCCCCTCCCCATTCTCCTGGGAAAGAAGCTTTGATTTTTAAACAAAAGGGCCTCACTTGGCTCTCAGCTCTGTTCTGATTTTCTGAAAAGAAAAAAAAAGACTGGGGGAGGTCCCTACCTTGTTACACAAACATTTGAAGGAACCACAAATGGCCCCCCACATTTATTGACCATACCGAAAATCAAGATATGGTCTAGCAATGAAAGATGCCTCAAGGGGAACCAAGAACAGAACTACCCTGAGAGTGGAGGACCCCCAAATTGGAGGGAGGAGATAGGAACAAAAGCATCCTTAACACATGTCCCTGGTCTACTGATTTCTCTGTCTTTCTCTGTCCTCTTAGCTCCTATCTCCCTTCTACGCCTTTCCGTCTGCCTCCTTCTCCAACATACATGGTCCCACTTGCTCTCCCTCCCTCTCTCTCCCTTCCTCTCCTCCTCAAACTTCTATTTCCTCTTCTCCATTTGTTTCTCATTCACTCGGGCTCTGTCCACACCCGCACAGCCACACCCGCATGCTGCAGGATCTCCCTCCTTGAGAATAGGGTGGAGTCTTTCCCAGGACCAGTTCCATTTGTTCAGGAGCCCAACTTTATTCCTGGTGAATTCCCTGCTGTTGTTAATGTCTTAACAGCCTGCCCTCCTCATGAGGTAGCACCCTCAGTTTCATAAATCAAAACTTTTTATTTTCTTCTAAGTGCTGGATTAATGCTCTCTCCGGTGTGTCTGTGCCTAGCGAGTCTCTGGGCAGATAGGGCAGAGGAGGCTGCCTGGATCCTCGCGGCAGCTGGGAATCAAGAATCCTCAGTCAAATACCCATTTCCATTGCCTTGTTTCATTTTTCCACTAATTTTTATGGCTTAAACTGGTTGTTGGCATGAACTCAAGGGATTTCTTAGAATAAGAATGGCAGGATCTTAGAATTTCAGAGCCTCAGAGAGCCTGGAAGACCAACAAGTACAGTCTCCTCCAGTCACTTGCTCCTGGCCACTTAGAAGACTCAGGAGAAGACCAGAGTCCCCATCTCCCCATTTGGCCATCTCACACTCACCCCCAAGCATTCTTGCCACAGTTTCAACCTGTGCTAAAGCTGTCTTTATTTGATCTCCCTGTTTGAAGGAAGAATTCATGACACTGGTTCAGAAAACACAGAAACCACCACAGTCACATAAGGCCAAGAGCAGCTACAGTAGAGAAGTCCCTTGAGTTCCAGATAAATGCCCTTTCCACAAGGAGGAAGAAGATGTTGAACCCAGATATTTTGTTTCAAAGGAAGAGAAGCAGCAATCTGCTCCGTGTTTGTGTTTTGTCTTTCTGCTCCAGTCTCACAGGGTCTCCCAGTTAAAGTGAGGGAAGTGGTTTTACCAGTCAGGGAATCAGGGTCTGAAATGTTGCAAAGAGCTGGCTGAAGGACCTATGTTTGGGGAGTAAGTGTTAAAAATTCAAGGAAATTCCTTGGTTAATGAAAAACAAGAACAGTCTAGAAATTCAGGGTTACCTGGGCAGAGCTGAAGAGAGTATTGAAAAAGAAAGCTCGTGGTCAGAGAATCCCAGCTCCACACAGCTAAAGATAATGAGTTCTCAGAGGATTGACACCCACATTAGCAGCAATCAGACAAATGCTACCTTTGGTGGCCTATTCCTGTAGTTACCATGACAGGTGGCAACAGTGTATAAGCATGGATCCTAGGCACTGGGGTCCAAAGTAGGAGACAGTCCCCTAAAGGCAGTGTTAAAAGCCTGTGTTTCTAGTATTGGTTGATTTAATCACAACTTGATAGGTGGCAACCCTGGGTGTACGTCTGAGAGTTCCGGCTGTCTCTAAGCTTCCGTGCTAGACAGCTATGTAAATACAGAATGACAGACTGGGTCATATTCATGTGTTTAGAAAATTAATACCTCAGAATCAAAGGATGCGAGTATGGTTGACTAGGTACATCATTTCAAAACTTCAAAAATGCTCTTTCTGAGACTTAGGCAAAAAAAGAATGAAAGAAAGAGAAAAAAGAGATGACACCAGTCAGCTCTACCAAGCTATATTAATTAAATGTTAAATAAAGAGCGTGGCAGGGCATATCGATAATCCCAGCCCTGTGGAGCCTGAGGCGGGAGGATCTTGAGTTTGAGACCAACCTGGGCTACACGGCGAGACCCTACCTCAACAAAAAAAGAAATTTAAAAAGTTACAGGGGTCTCAAATTGGGTGGAGAAACAAGAAAACCAGAAACAGCTCTCAGAACCAGGAAGTTATAGGGAAGCCAATTTTGCTCAGTTTAGGGAACTCTGACCATTAGAATTGTCCAGCCAAGGCGGTGAGTGTGGATGTGCACTCCAAGTTACTGGGAACTCTAAGGAACTAGAAGACTATCATCTGTCCAAGATGTAAAATCAGATTTCTGCATACTAAAAGAACAAATGAGTTGGTTTTCACATTCTCTCTTGTATTTAGAATTCTATGAAGCATGGAATGAAACTAATTTGCCTGTGCCCCTCCTGCAGCCCCTGCCCAGGTGGAGACCCCATCCGGCTCTGTTGGAGGTACAGGAGAACAAGTCTGCCTCCTTCACCAGGTATCTGACTGTGTTCTCCCTCCAAGGACCCGCCACTCAGCACCACCTGACTTCCCAGGGCAAGCCAAGAGGGTCTGCTTTCCCCGGGGTGGCCTCCATGAAGCCGGTTGTCATGGCTGGGCCCAATGGGGTCTCCAGAGAGAAGCAGAAAGGAGCAAGAAAACCACGGTCTAGGTCTTTAAGAAGATGGATGTCTTTCCTCTCTGCAGAGGGCTACCCCGTACTCCTGGCGGGTTGCCAGGTTCTAAGGATGTGATCTGCTCTGGGCTTGACCTTGATGGCCTTTTGCCAATTCCCAGGACAGTTTAGCATCCCCAAACAATGTAAAATCTGGGGCGCCCTCTGATGCCCCAGGGTACCAGACCGGATGTCCAGTAGCCCTGGACAGCTCTCCACCCCCGCCCCATTCTTCAGAGTCTGGGTAGAACTGGATCAGGCTGAGGGTGGGAGACCACAGGGAGAAACAACCATCACATTTCAGTGTTGTCAAAGACTTCCAGCTGAAGCCCAGAAAAACCTTCTCAGCTGAGGAGCTCACCTACCACCCAGAGGAAGAGCAGACAGCAGGAATCAGAGCAGCACTTTTTGAATTATCCTCAAAACTCCAGGAAAAAAAACATGCAGTATATTTTGTCATTTGTGAAACACTCTACAAATAACACGATTTGTGATGGTTTACACCTTTCAGAGTTCCTATTTGTTGACTGGCTACAGGTTGCTTATTTTAACCTGCACAGAATTAAAGGGAAAGTTGTATTATTACCAACCCTAAGGATTTCGTGATGACTTCCCTACTCACAGCCCTGTAGTCTGGAGTAAGAATTTTCTTTCTTTTTCTTTCTTTCTTTCTTTCTTTCTCTTTCTTTCTTTCTTTCTTTCTTTCTTTCTTTCTTTCTTTTTTTTTCTTTCTTTCTTTCTTTCTTTCTTTCCTTCCTTCCTTCCTTCCTTCTTTCTTTCTTTCTTTCTTTTTGTGATACTGAGGTTTGAACTCAGGGCCTTCACCTTGGGCCACACCCCCAGCCCATTTTTTTATGGTGTGTTTTTTCAAGATAGAGTCTCTCAAACTATTTGTCTAGACTGGCTTCAAACCTTGATCCTCCTGATCTCTGCCTCCTGAGTAGCTAGGATTACAGGTATGAGCCACCCACACCGGCCTAGAGTAAGAAACTTTTAAAGCAAAGGCAGGAGTTCCCTGTACCTTAAGAAATTGCTCTTGCAGTTACTTAATCCCCCTCAGGGCAGTTTTACAAGGAGTTTTGCCTGCTCAACTGGCAGGCCAATTGCATTTAAATGTTCTCTCCCAATCTGCATTTCTGAGGGAAAAGCCTCAGTTCTTCAGACAAGCTAGGTCCTGTCATGCTCCTCTGTCTTGTTTATTTTGTGCGGGGGGGAAAAAATATACCAGTATCTATGTTCAAATGGGCCACACCTCCATTGACACTCCACCAAAATGTGAACCTAAGAAAACAAGCAAACAGAAAAGGCGTCCTTCTCCATTTCCCCAGATTCACACCGTGCCTAGACTGAGCACTGGTGTTTGCACAGCCACATTTTGGAAAAGAGTGAAAAGATAAATGTTCCAAAAACAATCACTGCCTTCCGGGCCAGAAAATCCCACATCCACCTAGAAAATTCTGTTAGCATTTCTGAATAACCATCATTTTACTCAGAGCTGGTATGGAAACACGAAGCCATTGAACAGTTTTTTACAGAAACTCACGAAGCTCTGGGCCCCACCCTCTCCTCCAGCCCATTGCCCCAGCTCCCCTCGCCCTTCCCCACTCCACATCTGGCCAAGAAGAGGAATCTGGAATCCACATAAAGAACCCCTCCCACGTTTTATTTGAAAACCCATTTGCCTCTCTGTTTCCCTAACGGTTTTATTTAAACAAAACAATCCCTCTCTTCCTAGCCTGTGAGTAGGAGAAAAAAAAAAAAAAGGAAACTTAAATTTAAACAGAAGAGAATGAACAAGCAAAGGAGCAATAAAAGCTATAGCAAAAATAAACTGAAAACCAGATATTTATCTACCATCACCCAAAGAAGACCAGCATAGCAAAGAAACGATTCAAGTACTAAAGCAAGATGAATCAAAACAGAGGTGCTGAAGACATCTGGCGAATTCATATGTCATTTCAAAGGTATGCAGAGTTCCTCCATACAGATATTTCTTCTAGGTTTGTTCCAAAGTCCCTCATATCCTCAGATACTATACACAATTACAGCCCAGTCCTGCTAACTCTGAACTTCAGGGGAAAAGTTGCCTCAGTCTCCACTTTTAACTAAGTTTCAAGGACTTGATTCTTTGGGAACCGTAGGAAAAGCAAAGGAAAATGGAGCAGCAAGGCTTAGCTGTGCTGAGAATCATGCAGTACACAGGAAGGAGTGCTAGCAGCTTCCCTCCGTATGCAAGCTGTCCTACCTCGAGGGTCCCAGTGACTGAGGCACACAGACGCCCTGAGTGGCTGGAGCTGACAGGCTGGTCTGGTCCTGGTCCTGATCCTAGTCCGCTCCCTTGAAGGTATGCGACTGCAATGAGAGGAGAGATCTGCCTCCCGAGGTTATAGGTTTCCTCTGCTGGTGTGCTGGGGTGTGTGATGGGCGGTTTCTTTTCCCCGTGTTTTAAAGGAGTTTCTATGAATCAGTCTGGCTTTTAAAAAAAAAAAAAAAAAGATTTGTTGGTAAGCTACGCCCTGCTAAGTTGGCAGTCAGTCAAAAGTGGTTGGGAGTGAGCCATCAATTCAAAGATCCCTGTTGTAGCTCCCTCTGACTCACTCAGAGACCGCAGTGGAAAAAGGAGTGACATTGCTTCAAGTGAGTAATAGAAGTCACACAAATAGATCTGTTTACCAAAGCTCATTCCTCCTCACCAGAATGGAGACTTGGTTACCATGGACATAAGCCAAAACATGGTTCCAGGCTGGAGAGGGAGTGGGAGGGAGAAGAGGGGAAAAGGACAGCCCCGTTAATTAAAACCCCAGCTACTCATCAACCGAGATTCCTGCTCTTCCTCCCCCATCAGGCATCAGTGACTACTCATTGTCAGGAACTGTCCGCTTCATTTCTTACAACTTCCCTGCCTGACACCCCCTCTCTCCCCACTCCACAGCGCCCTGTCCTGTGGGTGTCAGTGGGAGGAAGCAGCAGGAGAGCCACCAAGAGCTCTTGTAACCTACGTTTGACTGATGGAGCCCTGATTGACAGCAGACAATCCCCCGGTCTTTAATTCTTCTCTCTAAACACCCTAGCACTCCAGGAGGAAGTCCTTGAGTGGACTTTGTTGCATGACCTCCATGTAATAATCTTGTGGACATTGTTCCACAGGTGACTTTCCTGAACCTGGCTGGTGGCCTGATCTTCACAGCCACCTCCCTGTGCCACTTCTCAGTCCTGGAGCTGGGAGGGGCCTTTGAAGCCATCTAATCCCACCTTGAGGTTCAGATCCCAGGGACCTGTATTCGAGCCCAGCCTCCCCTTGTTAGCTGTGTGACTTTGGGCAAAGTATTGCTCTCTCTTTGCCTGTTGCCTGCATAAAACGGAGACAGTAGGTATCTATCTCACAGTGTTATGGCAAGAAATACATGCTTAGGGCTGGGATGTAGCTCAATGGTAGAGAGCTTGCCTAGCATGAGCCAGGCCCTGGGTTCGATCCCCAGCACCACAAAAGAACAAAAACCTAAAACTTCTTGTCTGAGAAATATGTGCAGAGAGCTTATAACAATGCACATAGTAAGCACTTAATTAGTAATGATTTTACTGAAGAAATTCTAGTCCAGAGAGAGGTAAAATGACTTCTCCAAGGAGATACAGTAACTTAGCAGAAGTTGCTTGGACCCAAGTTTGCCAGAGGCAAGCAATTCTGTCAGTTGATCTCTACTATTTCAATTCCAAGTATGGCTACTTATTCACTCACTCAACAAGCCCCCACTGCATGCCAGCCTTCCCTGGGCCAGGTTCAGAGGGCTGGCTTGCAGAAGCGAACAAGATCCTTTCACTCTTGAAACTTAAATTCCGTAAAAGAACAGGGAACAGACTGGTGGCAATTGAACAAAATGTGGATAAAAACAAGGTAGCAAAAACTGTAGGTAAACTTTAGTTGCTTCTTCTCACATTTCTGAATTCTTCAAACCTTGTGCAATGAACTACATTACTTTGACTTTTAGGAAAGAATATTTTCCCATAGGAAAGAAGAGAAATGTTTCCTAAACTAGATGATGGGGACACACACACACACCCCACAGCGATTTGTTGCTGTCTCTTCACGAGCCCCTGAGAACTGAATTCTATCTCTGTAAAGATAACACAGTCTAGATTTTTCATTAAAAACTGATGATGTGACAATGATTGTATCAGTGTACCACATGTGTCTTCACCTCCCACCTCTGCCATCACTTACTCGAAAATAAAAAATGCCTGTCTGGGAGCAGACCCTCCCAGCAGTGAGCTGATTTCCTATAATCTAAGCAGCCCAAGTTTAAGGGTGGGAGGAGACATTTGTTGGTGGGTTGTGAGGACAGGCACTCCCCCCGCAACCCCAGCCCCAATCTGCCTCTCTCCTACTCTTGAGATTCCCCCCATACCCACACACCAGGCCTTCTGCCAGTTTGAAACTCTCTCTTCCCCCAGCAGGGTGTCAAGAAGGGCTGGGCTCCAGAGGTGAGATGCTGGGACTGGTCTGGTTGCATTTTTTAGAGAGAAACCTGGAGCCAGGGAACTTTGGAGGGAAGGTGTTCTCCCTCCCACCTCCCTCTCTGGGTTAACAAAGGAAAAAAAACTGAAACTTTTCTTAAAGCACTTGAGTAGAGGAGACATTTGGTTCTTCTGGATTCCCACACTGGATTCCAGAGACAGAGGACAGAGGGAGGGGCAGGAGTTCTAGTTTTTCCTCTCCTACTGCCTGGCGAAGATGGTCTGCTTTCTGCATTTCAGCCGTAACGTTAGTAAATGTCATGCCTCCCAAGTGCTCCTCATAAATCCCACCTTCCTGTGCACTTTTGGAGATGTTTAGGTCTGGAGAGAAAACGCTAAATGTGTTGGGCTCTTACACACACACACACACACACGCACGCACACACGTGCCATATGAAGCCAAATTTGTGGTGTAAATAATTTTTAAAGATAACTGCCAGGTAGGATCCCTAAAGTCTCATAATTATCTGTTGGATATCACTGAGCTCATTTTATAAAACAGTTATCAAGCCTGGGATAGAAAGCAGATCTGTTCTGGCTGAAGCTCTGGTTTACTGTGCCCCTGCGTGGGATTAAAAGCTCATGCCTCATTCTTCCCATGGTTGTGAGGGACAACTGTAAGACCTTGGACAGTGCAGGGTCAGGGGCCTAAAGCCACCGGGGCCTTGGAATCTGGTTGTCCCCATCTACATGGTCTTTATTGGGAGTGGATCAGGCGCATTCCTTTCCCACATGGGCAGGGAGCCAGGCAGTTCCACTGGACCTCAGTAAAGCCATGTAGTCTCGGAGAGTCCACTCTTGCCCAAGACAACAGTGTTTCTCTGCACAGCGATGTGTTCCCTCCTTCTGAAGCAATAAGAATCCACTTTGGGCGTGATGCCATTTGGGGCAGATTTTCATGTCTAAACTGGTGTCAATACTTTTAATATCTGATACAAGGAGAAGTCTCTTAAGGTAGGGCTGGCACTACAGGCAAGCCCAGAAAAGAAAACTAATAATAGCTTGAAGTTGGTTTTGCTCAAATTCAGCCAAAAAGAACCCAAATGACCACGACATTGCAATATGTTCTCCAAAGCTGTTATATGTGCAGGGGATGCCATTGTTAATGTTAGCAAACACTTTGAAAAGTAAACAGATTGCCAAAGAAGTTACGCAGTTTCTTCCAAAGTCAAGTAACTGTTCTGTGCCATTCCTTTTTGAAATGTGAGAATTTAATAGAAATTCCCTGTTCCTCCTCTTTCCTTCCTTTTCTCAACTATGCCGCTCTGTTTTTCCCTCACACTGTTTTCTTCCTGCTTCTATGGTTTACTTCCTTGAACTCCTCCCAGTAAATGTAATTTTAATATACTTTTACAAAGTGACAAGTCTCTAACAATCCCCTTTTATCCCCCTGCTTCTTGTCTCATAGAAGGTTTGTGCTGAACTACTTTAGACAAATAATGCTGGTGAAACTCCAAGAGCCCTCTAAGAACCTGGGTCATTGACCTGACACTTCCAGCTGAGCAGACAGGAAAGTCTCACTGATGAAGTGCTGCATATAGTGACAGAAGGCTGAAGATAGGAAAAGCCAACCTTGCCACAGAGGACACTAGATTGGTCCTAACTGCTATGACCAATTTCTTCAGGCAGTTAAGAAAAGACCTTCTGATCCATGTCTCCTGAGAATATGGCTTCATAGCCAGAGAAGAATAATAAGCACACAAATTTGCTTATTTGGTGACAAATAAGAAGCAGTTGTCACCAAAATAATAAGTGAAAATATCCTGTCTTTCTCCAACTACTGTCAACTGCAACATTAGAAGGTATATATTGAGTGGGGTGCAGTGGCTCATACCTATACTTTCAGCTACTGGGGAGGCAGAAATTGGGAGGATCAAGGGTCAAGGTAAGCCCGGGGAAAAAAGTTAGTGATATTCCATTTCAACAAACAAGTTGAGTGTGGTAGTCCACATGTGTGATCTACCTATGTGAGAGATAGGATTGCTGTCCAAAGCCAGCCTGGGGAAAAATGCAAGACCCTATTTGAAAAATAATCTAAAGCAGAAAATTGAGAGAATGGTTCAAATGGTAGGGAAATTTCCTAGCAAGCATCAGGCCATGAGTTCAAATCCCAGTAGCACCAAGAAAGGTATATATTAAAGGGATAATGAATAAATGGATTTTCTTTTGCACATTGCCTCTGTGTTACTGAGAGCATTGTTCCTACTTCTTCATGGACCTGAAATGATGAAGAACTGAATATTTATAAGTAACTGATGAGTGACTATCCCTCCCTGTGGTCAGCCTCTAATAAACAGATGCTGGCTATGTAGCATTAAAATGTAGCACATTTAATTAATGAAGTGTCTAATACCCAAGCAAAAGAATCACATGTTCTGCAGCAAGATTTTTCCCTCCAACTGAGATGCTGGCCAGAGGACCCCTCTAGCTAAGCCCCCACAGCTGTGGGAAAAACAGTTGGTATGTGTTCTTCAATTTTCCCAAGGAGAAATTGTCATGGAAGGGGGCACAAAGCCAAGCTGTCCAGCCCGGGGAGCTTAAAGCATATTCCCCACTGGGACTATGTGGTCAGCAAAGAACTCAAGACCCAAGACATGCTAGAAGTGATCTTGAGTGCTAGCTAAGACATTGAAAGACATGAATTGTTTCTTAGTAAAAACAAACAAAAGGAAAATGGAGCATTCTTTTTGGTTAAATTATAGGATAGTTGGTCCATTTTTCAAAATAATGTAGGACGAAAGCCATGCCTGCACACAAGTTAGCATTTCCCATTCCACACACATCGATGCACTGTCCAGCCTCCCCTTTCTAGGATGCTGTGCAGGGCGGTGTCTCAATGCCTGGCAGAGTTCATGACCATGGGCTTCACAGGAATCCTTCCC